GAGTGTCCCACAAGAGTGTCCCACAACAGTGTCCTATAAGAGTGTCCTACAAGAGTTTCCTACAAGAGTTTCCCACAAGAGTTTCCTACAAGAGTGTCCCACAAGAGTGTCCCACAAGAGTGTCCCACAAGAGTTTCCTACAAGAGTGTCCCGTAAGAGTGTCCCACAAGAGTGTCCTGTAAGAGTGCCCACAAGAGTGTCCTATAAGGGTGTCCGACTAGAGTGTCCTACAAAAAGTGTCCCCCGTAAGAGTGACCCACAAGAGTGTCCTGCAAGAGTGTCCCACAAGAGTGTCCTGCACGAGTGACAGCGTCCTACAAGAGTGTCCTACAAGAGTGCCCCTCAAGAGTTTCCTACAAGAGTGACCCACAAGCCTACAAGAGTGTCCCGTAAGAGTTTCCCACAAGAGTTTCCCACGAGAGTGTCCGACAACTAGAGTGTCCCACAAAGAGTGTCAAGAGTGTCCTACAAGAGTGTCTCACAAGAGTGTCCCACAAGAGTGTCCGACAAGAGTGTCCCATAAGAGAGACCCACAAGAGTGTCCTATAAGAGTGTCCCACAAGAGTGTCCTGTAAGAGTGACCCACAAGAGTGTCCTACAAGAGTGTCCCACAAGAGTGTCCCACAACAGTGTCCTATAAGAGTGTCCCACAAGAGTGTCGTCCCACAAGAGTTTCCTACAAGAGTGTCCCACAAGAGTGTCCCACAAGAGTGTCCTACAAGAGTGCCCTAGAAGAGTGTCCCACAAGAGTGTCCCACAAGAGTGTCCTACAAGAGTGTCTCACAAGAGTGTCAAGAGTGTCCTACAAGAGTGTCTCACAAGAGTGTCCCACAAGAGTGTCCGACAAGAGTGTCCCATAAGAGTGACCCACTAAGAGTGTCCTACAAGAGTGTCCCACAAGAGTGTCTTGTAAGAGTGTCCCACAAGAGTGTCCTACAAGAGTGTCCCACAAGAGTGTCCCACAACAGTGTCCTACAAGAGTGTCCCACAAGAGTGTCCTACAAGAGTTTCCCACAAGAGTTTCCTACAAGAGTGTCCCACAAGAGTGTCAAGAGTGTCCTACAAGAGTGTGATTTGGACATATGTAGCTTTTGGAACGTGTTTGCATTCGGGTTCGTGGGCTTCATTTTGTGTTTTTTTTTGCATGCCTCAATTCACCCATAGGTGTGCAGATACAGCGCGGGCGTCATTGTTTTGGATGTCCAAGTCATGGGCGCTTCGGCGGCTTTCAGCTTGCTGGTTGGCAACTTGTGTTGTGGTATACCCATGTTCGCACTGCTTGTGGCATGCTTGGCAGTTTTCTTTGCACAGCGTTGTCACTAGTTGCCAGCAATTGCAGAAGGAAAACAAAAACAAATTATGAACAGTTTTCCCTTCAGGTTCCCACATCCTGGTCGGCGACATTATGCGCTCCGTGAATCTGTTCCGCTTCGAGGTGCGGGAGAAAAACACGTAACTTTGGGCATTGCCAAGGCTATCTTAGAATGTTGTTGTTTTTGGAATGAAAGTACTATAGAAACACATTGAGCAAGTAGTCAATGTCAAGGACTCATCTTTGAAAATGGTCGCGTATGATGAGATCTCGGCCTGGTCAACATCTGTGGACATGCTGTCTGACAACCACTTCCTGTGCCCCGCCATAGAAATCAGAAGAACAGACATCAGGAGATTGTCGGTGATTTGTCAATTGATGATCTCCTTAGGTGTGCAGATGATGGCGGCAATTTGCTGGCACTCTCGAGGGGCGAGCTGACGGCCTCCGTGGGAGATGTGAGAATACTGGAAAGAGCACCTCGGCAAGGGCCATGAAACGGAGCACCAGCGTCGGTGGCTTGAGGAGCTTTCGATGTGGTGCCCCCCTGACCCAGGTTGGGCGGATCCACACCGGTGAGTTCATGTAGCTTGGTTTGCATTTGATTTGAAACCCAAGCAGCAGTGGACAACGAATGGTTGTGGGGTTTGGAGCACACGATGATCACTACGCGATACATTAGATTAGTTGAGCCTGTTCTCAGGAATCGATTTCGCCCGGGATTCTTTGCCTTGCGAGTAAACGAGCCGCGGGTCAAGACCACAATTTGGGAACCATGGCTAAAACTTGCTTTGTGCATAAAGTCTGGAGCTTTGCGCCTGCAGCATGTGGCGTGCTAGGCCAGTGCATCTGGTGCCTTTGGAGTTATTGTGCCAGTGAATTGCGAGAAGACCTTCATGCGACTGTTGATGCTGCAGGACGACAACTGAAGTCGATCAGTGAATGTCGGTATATAAGGAACAAGAAGCTACTAGGGGCTCCTGGCCTTACTACTAGGAGCAAGGACGCTACTAGGGGCTCCTGGCCATACTACTACGAGCAAGGATGCTACTAGGAGCTTTTTGTTTTTTGGTTTTGAGCCCAACCAAGTCTGGCGCCTTTGAGGACTGCATCAGACGCGAGCTTGTACCAATGTTGACCCACAGCACGTTGAGAGACACTCTGCAGTGCAGACCCGCATTGTGTGCAAAAGATTGTCAACTGTTTTTTTAAAAGCTCGCTCCCCCCCTCCCTACTCAATTAAGTAGGCGCGTACTTCATTAAGTAAGCTAGTACCTTACTTCAGCTACTAGCATGGACACAGGATAGATCACACTTCTTCAAGGAAGCTCCCCCTAGAAGCGCTCCCACTATAAATCTAGGGAAACTTAAGTTCCCCATACTGTGTCATTGTACAAGTATACACTTTACACTTTGCCAAGTACTTTGCCATTTTTGCCAACGTATGTTGACATATGCTTCATACAGTAAGTACTGTGTACAGTGTAGCGACCATGTTTGAGGCCTTTTGCTTCACTGTGACTCAGGGTGGCACTGAATATGGAGGCTTTCTCAATGGCGACCTTTTGGAGCGTTTCCTCGACATACCAGAGGGAAAGCAAAAGGCAGGGCTTTGGGTTGGCTTGCTCATCAAATTGCTGTCTACTGTCTGTAGTTCAAATTGTCCAGACGTATCCAGACGTCGAACTGCACAATTAACGTTCCAGATGGTCCTAGGATTTCCCTTGACACAGGTCTTGGCATTGGAAGTCGCAGACGCAGGCTTGACTACCAGTGAAAATCCAGTCCTGGAACTCATCCAAGATGTGGAGGGACTCTCTCAGATGTATTGATTGTCATGAGTCATGATTGTTCGTGAAAGTCAGCCAAAGTCTCGCTGACTTTGATGATGCAATTATGTGACATAAAAAAGACGTCCAACCATTCTCAGAATACTCTGAATGTGTACTTGCTATGTGGCTTGAGGCAGCTTATGTTGAATTGAATACTTGACAGTGCTGTAGTGTTATCAAGGCTCAAAATTATGTTAGGTATAATATATATATATATATTTGCATATTCGTCATTAGCCAAATGCCCAATGCCAAGCCGAGTGGGGGCTGGAACCTGGGCTAGAGCCACGAGACATCATAGAAATGTATAACTTGCTCATCAAGGCAGGTTCTTAGTCCTTGTAGGAACTGGACAAGCAATAAAGACTCCGGTGCCGTGGAATTTGGAGAAAGACCTGGAATGAGAAAGAAATATGAGAGGACAACAGCACAATATAGCAGGATTACATAATGGAGAACGAACGTTTGCACCATCAAGAGATTGCAGTAGGCAGAGCTCTTTCGGAGCGCGATGACTACCATTGAGGAGCGCTCTAAACGCTTCACTCCCAAAGTCAACACCTCCTTTTGTATGGCCAGGGCTCGATTCTCAGTGGACCATCAGAAAATCAACGGCTTGCCCCAAGAAAAGACAGGTTCAAGGCTTGCGCATGAATGAGGGGATAAGCAAACTGCCGGATTGTATCGATGCAGACATGCACGCTTAAGGTTTGGAATGGCGGCTTGGGAGGACAGTGTCCATTGATGCCGGTGTCCAACTCCTTCGGCTTATGCAAGACTCATGCTCATCGAGATGCAGCAGAAGGGCTGTCGCACGGCAGGGTCGATGGGCCAATTCCCCTCGACACTCAGTTGCCACTTCGACATGTCATCTACAGGCTAATTACAGAAGCAAAGCATAAGCTGGTGAGAAGCAATGGCTCGTGAAATTTCACTCAGCCGCGCTCACAAGGAAAAGCTCGAGGAGTTTGAGGAGCGATGGGAGAAAAGAGGAAGCAATGGCTCATTTGTGCAAGGCCATGTGTGAGTCGAGTCGGCTTATTAAATCAAATGGTCTACTCAACAAGTCTATTCTTACAAAATTAACAAAAAGTTACCGTATCCAAAGTGTTACGAGACAACAACAGTCGAACATGCTTGAACGTTTGCGGCACAAATTGGTTTGGCATGGTTTGATCAGATTGTTGACACTCCAGTTGAGCACGATCCAGCATTGGGCCGCACAGAGCCCAGGCTCGCCGCATGGGATCCCACCAGCCAGCCCCCAGTCCAAAGCAAGGACTGGATCATGAAGCAGTTGGTCATAACATGATAGCCTGTAATGTGCATTTAATAGTCCCGTTTTAAAAAAGGGCCCAGTGCAACATTGCAGTATGGTGCAATGGTGCAAGTAGGTTGTCCCCTTAAAACTGAGCTGTCAAGGGCGGCAAAGCCACGAAGCGTCACCAGGAGCCCCTCGCGAACTCCGCGCAGAATCAGAACTCCGCCTCCAGAGGTCACACCCAAGCGAAAGCTGAGCAAAAGGGCTACACCGGATGCGCCTACGCCCTCTACACCAAGTATACGCAAGACACCTCTTAAAGAGGGAGCGGGCAGCTGTCTTGCACGTGTTTGGGCAAGTGGCAGAGGTGGGCAGAAACTTGGTCGCAGTCTCAAGCGAAAAGCCTTTCAGAAACGGCAGAAAGTGATTCTGCCCTTCTTATTCTATTCGGTGGAGACTTTGTGAGCATTTTGCGCTGCTCACTGCTCATGTCTTATACACAGATGATGTTTTTGTGTTGAGTAGAAACCAGCCACCTTTGACAAAGTAGGTTGATTCGATGGCAGGTGTAAGCTATGCACGTTGAACGCTTTGATCCACGGCAACTCTTATCTCAAACGCTTTCCCACCATTTGTCTCGCTTGATCAGAGCAGCATGGACTGTTTGCTGCCGGCCGGCCGGCGCTTGTCGGTCAAAGACCTTAAATCCTTAAATGGCCATCGAGCGGGCAAAACATGCGCGAGGGCAAGGATCAAGCTTGCCACTTCGCAGCAGATTGTGGCAACCCAAGCCAGCCAAGCAGGTGGTCACAGACCCCCCACAAGCTCTGGAAACCGGTCGACCAGCATAGGGCTGGAGCAAATTAGTTCATTTTCACTGAGTGAACCAGTAAACCATAACAAAACCTCACAACGTCCGTAGCATCATCCTGAAGCTGTTCGCCGGCCGCAGTCCAACTGGCTTCGACATATTGCATATCTGCAGAGTTGAGGCTTCGCAATGGCTTAACAATGCCAAACATGCCGGGAGATTTGTGTGTTCCCACGAGGTCGGAGCAGTTGCTCCAGAATTAGCCCAAAGGTTCAGAACTGCTTGCTGCTTTGCTTTCAGCCGATCCATGCAAGCCCCTCCGGCCAGACCAAAGACCCAGTGCCATTAAGTTTTGATCCTGTGATCAGCCCAGCGCTGCTGGCCACTCAGTATCAAGTTTTGCCATCCGATGGGTCATGCTTTGCACCCTAGCACTAGCGCATTGTCATTGTGTCACAGACCCACCAAGTTCACTTGCATCGGTGCTCCACCAACACAATCAATTTGTCCATACTCAGTTTTAACTGCTAGACCTGAAAGAAGGCCATCATCGAAAAGAAGCCCATAGCCACGTCATGGGCAGCAATTCCCAAATTGTTAACATATTGTATACTGATTTGATCACTAATTATGTGAAGACCTGGACCGCGAGGCAAGAATGAAGGGCACAAGTGGACAGCAATGCCAAGCGCAATATGGCTACAAGATGCTATAAGCTGATACAAGCACATTCCAGACGGTACAGTACACCGATAGTGCGCAGCCTTTTGGAGCACTCCTTTGTACGTTAGTAGGGCACTAGTTAGTCATATTTCTTTTTGTGTTGGCGGCACCCGCCCCACTTTGAGACAAAAGTCACAATTAGGTGCACCAAGCCAGCAGAAGAGGGCCACAGCTTGTGCAAACAACACATGCGAGATGCAGAAAAACATGACGGAGTACCTTGCCATGGCTTCGTCAAAGGCCACTTGTCATAGCCTGTTTGGTCCAATTTGAGAGTAGCTTGTTGTTACTAGTAGTAAGGCCAGGAGCCCCTAGTTAGCGTCCTTGCTCCTAGTAGCGATGCCAGGAGCCCCTAGTAGCTTCTTGTTCCAATTTGGGGTTGACCACAGAAGCCACCAACTGTTCAACCTTGGAGCTTGAGGTGAAATACCATCCGCAAAGATGCAGGACTTCAAGAAAGAAGCGGCTGCTTTGCTGATGTAATTTTGCTTTCACGTTTAATGTTTTATTCAATTGGTTTCTATTCAAGTTGATAATTTCAGGATTGTCCTGTGCCTGAGGCTAAGCGTGGATGGAGCGAGCCAAGCCCAGACGCACCGAGCGTTGCAACAGAGAAAGAGCTTAGGCCAGCTGGCCCAAGGACTTGAGAACATGATCAGGATATCGGACATGTGCAATTTGACGACACATTTATGCATAGTATATACGACACGTCACGTAAGTAACTATTTCATGAACGCCTACACCCGGAGTAAAAGGTTGGGCAACGTCTCCTACATGTTGTGGCCAAGGTCTGTTCCCAAAGCCCTCAAGCGACCAGCGGGCGAAAAGACATAAGACTTAAGAGCATGCTCGCAAGAGAAGCGTTAAAAAAGGAATGGTTGACGTGCTCCCAAGCTGGCTGGTGTACTTTAGTCGCCTCAACTCCAGTGTGGTCATGTTCGGTTCAGTTCAAATTTGAGGGCAATTATATAGCCCAATCTAAATTATTGTGTCCTGATTCAGTTTAACACTCGGCTTGTAGAGATCCTTGTCATTGTGCTGCCTCAACACCCAAGTCCATGAGCAAGTTCTGTTCTTTTGACCGCAGTGTTTCGGCTCGTCTTTGTCAATGTTGTACGAACCTTAACGGTTGCAATTCTTGAGGGTAGCAAGGTGGTGTAAAGTCAGCCGGTCTTTCTAAACTAGCTTGCGCTTACGACAATTCCATGCTGGGCCTGGCGATGGAATCAGAAGAGGGCCCTGGCTGCTTCCTGGATGTCAAAGCGTTTCCCCACTTCAGTGAGTGGCTTGGCTTTGACTTCGAGGACGGAATTCAGCGATTGCTGGATCCCACCTTCAAGCTTGTGACAATCGCCAAATTTCTATTAATTAAGCTACCGCGGTCATTCGCGAAGCGTCAATTACCCAACTGTCGTTAGTTTACCGAATGCACGTTCGACGAGGGACATCTTACCAGTTAGGGTAGGCCTTTTGTTTTGAATGGCCAAGGTTGCTGTCGGCCAGTGAGGGCTATGCGCGACACAGTGGCTGCCGGTTTCGCAAAGGTTCCTTCAGCAACTTGCCGGAAGGCGCATCGAGTGTAGTGGTGGAGCTTCACAAGTGACAAGAGTCTGCTCTGAAGGGTGGACAGAGCAAAGGTTAATTAAGTCATCGGGGTCTAATGAGTCTACTGATATCTAATGTTTCATGATATTGATTCGTCAATAAAGGGTCTCCTTGATAGCAACTCAATACAGCCTCAGCCACACACGCACACATTTACATGCGGTATATATATATATATGTTATATATATATATATATGTTTATAAACAAACATCAATAACTCAGCACGGATTGGTTACAATTGAATCGGCTCGTTGGCTTTGTTGTTCCTGCAGTGCTACAACGCTGTATCAGCGGTATTGGAGCAGATCAGTGCATGGGGATCAGACAATCATCCCGTCGGATACATCGGATCAGCCAATCATGAATCCACGGATCATCGCAACAGCCAACTCATCAGATCACTGCAGATCATCGCATGAAGGGATCATCGGATCGGCGGATTATCGGAACAGTCGTAGCGGATCAAGCGGATCATATAGAATCTTCACATGGAATCAGCGGATCACCAAATCAGGGGACCAAGCAGATCAGTTGGAATTGGCAGCCTAGCGATCATTACGCCCCGACTTTGGTCCAGCCAAAATATAAAGCACGCATGGTGGTGCAACACACCGCTTTGTCGTCGGTTTCGGGAACCTGGCTTTGATTGTACGGATATTTGTTGGTTCAAGTTCGATTTGGTTTCCAAATTTAAACATGTACCTCATGGTGACTGACCATTGAGCTCACTGCTTGTTGGCTTTGAATGTTTCTGAACCAATTACTTCCAGGAGATACAGTCTTGGAAGATAGAGATGCTGCAAAAGCCCGAGCAGCTCCAGCTGTGAAGGACTGGCGAGCATAAACATCATAATAAGTCCCAAAGCCTTGCACTCCAGGAGTTCATGGAGAAGGTTGAGGGGCAAACCGATCAGGCTCGCATTGCAAAACCATTTGCCGAATTGATGGTAGCCACTTACTTAGGTTTTCTCAAGAGCGTTCTCAAGAGCCACTGAAGACTCAGCAAACAATGTGTAACAACATTAACAACCAAGATGAATCTACGTTCTATATGACAGTGTATGACAGAATTGACAGGCATTGTGCTGCGAACTCAACGAAGCGTTCAATATCCTGTGGTCAGAGAGCATGAGAAGTGCAATGGTTGCAAGGTGCGTCCGGGGCCTTGCACACGTTGCACGAATACATTACTGTAAATAGAAGCCACTTACTAGTAGTTGGAAGCTACTAGGGTGGAGGCCATCGCTAGTAGGTTGGAGGCCATAGTAGCTAGAAGCTACTAGTAAATTTGCGACGAAGTCCATCCCTATGGGCTTTGACCCACATCAGCGCACGACGACGAGGGAAGCAGGAAATTGACTTGCGACATCTTGCGACTAAGACGTAGATGTCTCGAAGAAACAAGTCAACAAGTAGGTATATGAGTAGATATAGAGTGAGAGAGAGAGAGAGAGCTGATTCGGAAGTATCACAATGGCCTGTGTCAGGTGTCAGCAGCTTGACCTTTGGCCTCCAAATCCTCCACCAGAAGGCATTGACAATGCAGATTGCGACTGCTCCAAAGATACCTCGTGCCTCAGACCCAAGCTGAGGAAACTGCGGATATTTGCGGATATACTGTAGTTGGCATGATTCAAGGTTTGTGAAACAAACATGTGAACAAATATATACAACTGAAATTGAGAAGCGAAACCTGCGTTTGACAAGCCAAGTGTTTAAGGTCCATTGTGGCAATGGCCCAGCGTTTGTACAATCAGGCCCAAAAGCGAGATGCATCGTACACCAGGCTCATTCGGAAGCATGCAGCAATATGCAGCACATGGACGCCTGTATAGCTGTCGCTGTCAAGACGTGAGATTTGAGCTTCGTAGCGTAGCCACTGAGCAGGCTTTTGTCCACCGCATCCTTTCTGGCAGACTTTGCCTATGAAGCGGGGCTACCGACTCCGCAGTTTTTCCTGACCCGAGACCCTGTCACTGAGAAGCAGCTCGGAAGCACGCAAGGCAGAGTCTCATAGGACAGCAAGATCACTTGGCTTGCATTTTGGAACTTGAAGGATCTTGAAGGAGGGAATTTTTATAGATTCCTCTTGACCCTGTGTCTAAGATGTTTGTACAATATTGTGCAATACGGTTTGGAGAGACAACTTCCCTCTACTGCCCATGGATTTGCCCCATGGCCTTTTGATTCAGGTTTGAGACCATGGCCGATGAGTACGAACGAACTTTGATATCTCCACCGAATAACCGAAAGCGAACGTGGTGGTTGCCTTGGAACATGACACTCGGCCTGGGTATTTGATTGTCAGAAGTTTCGTGAGACTTGCCGGCAATCTATTTGTTAATGGCTACTGTGTATTGCACACAGTGGAAGCAGATCCCCTCGGACAGCCAGCG